GTCAGCGCGAGTAAATTGCTTGGCCTGGGCTCTGGTTGACGGAATGTGTGCTCCAGCTCAGGCTTCGCTTTGCTTGGGCCTCTGCCAATCAGAGGATTCAACTCTGAACGCTTTCTGCTGGCTACAGAGGCCACAGACTGCTGGGCAATGTCAGGTTCGCCGAGGCCACGGAGAGAGGAGTCATCAATCGGCAGGTGGATGTCCAGGTCAGCCTGCAAAATTCGAGAATGCCGGTGTTAGATTTGTGGGCGAAAAACACCATTTAAAAGAGAGAGGTCAAGGCTGAAGCCGAGAACTTACGATTCGCCACGTCAGGGAATTTGTGAGGAGCGCATCGCCAATAAGCAGATCCATAGAGTAAACTCCATAGAGGTGGTCAAAATCACTGGCCAAATTGTCTGGGATCTAAAGAGGTGACAAAGTAATTTGGATAAAAAAGGCGCGGATGGAAATACCACCAAATGAACATGAAGTATGCGGGACAGGTAAATAATACCCTGGTGATCGACTTGCTTCTGGTGTAAGCTAACAATCACGTACGAATTCTAAATAAAGCTAAAAGTTTACTTTTAATAAGGGCGCAACTGACCAGTTTGAATGAATAGGCACCCACAGACGAGGTCTTTTCACAGATATACGTTATGGACTGGCGTGTTTTCTCATGCATCAGCTGGATGAAGACCTGGTGGGGGTTAACTGGCGACCCGGAGACGGAGTCAGACAGGCTGAAAGTCAGGTGGAGTTGATCGTTTCGCTGGACACGGACAGAACCCGCAGGTCCGGCGACTTCAGCAGGAGCTGTGAGTTTCTTGTCAACGGTAACTCTGGAAAAGGCGTGCAAAAAACAGGAATTTTATTGATATTACTCTATTTCCTGGGAGCCCTGGCCACGAACCATCATTGCACCGAGTACTTTATTTGCTCCCGAGCCTAAACAACGCAATATAAATCAATTTCCCATCGAAACGAATATGCGAGTTCCAGGAAGCATAAATCAATCCCGTTGTAAGGCAACTTCCTCTAACCCCTAAATGTACCGAGCCCCAGATTCATGGACTTGCCGTAGTTCTGCAAAAGTCCCAATTTTACGACTGAAAAGTCGTGTGGGCAAACAATTGTTCTCGGTCATTCATCTCCAGGCCGGTGCATTGACATGGGGAATAAAGCGGTCGGTCAGTGTAGGCAAACGCGTCTGACGTACGGACCCAAACTGCCAACCATGAGAACATCCACCCCCCCCTCTTCTCTGTGCGCCGCACCCAACGTCCTCAACACGCTAGCGCCAACATGAGACGAGGGAACACTGAGACAGCTAATTACTCCCCCACCTCCTCCCACCCGAGGACGACATAAACGCCGCACATAACTGACCGCTTTGTCCTCAATGCCATTGGATGATTGATGACGGAAAACCACTGCTTGCCAATACAACATTCCTGGACTTGTTTAACATGCTTTTGTCGACTTAGGCTCCAACCATCAACAATGGTAGTTTTCAGTCATCTAACAACAAAACACTGCAATCTCCGCTTGGTAAATAGCGAAAACGTCAGACATCGTCCGACATACCGACGCACCAAAGCAAGTCTGATGGAAGCTGGCGTTGCGATTAAAAAGGGGGAATGAATAAGCTTAAAATATGTTGATAGCGCATGTTTACTCTGGAAAGGACATTAAAAACACCATCCAACAAATATTTTGCCTGTTGTCACGAAGCGGGACTTACGGAATATCCACTTTGGCACGAGAAGAATCGCCGGTGGCAAGGGATAGTTGTGGACTGGTCACACGTACCTTGTACAGCACCCGGACAGGAATCTAAGGGGGGGGGGAAATGACAGATCGCTATTGAATCATAAAAAAGGGTGTGCACTAGTAAGTCACAAACACACCTACCAGTAAAAAAAAGTTCCAAACAAGCACTCTGTGAACGCGATTTACGAGACTTTGGCGAGGAGCTTCGTCCTCTGCATTGGCAGGGCACAAGAACCATCGGCACTTTATTTTTTGCAAGCTAAGTGCAGCCGAGGCCCGGCTTGGGATTATTCGACACCTGTATTGATGATGGTATAAAATTGGATTTCGGGTATGGCGACGTGCGCGCACAAGCCACCAGCTGTCCTCCTAAGCAGGCCTAACATATCATCACTTCGATATGTTTCCAGTCGGCGCGCACTGTGCCTTTCAGGTGAAGCCTGTAGAGTTTACTGACGCATAATCGTTCTCAAAAAACGGTGAACCGAATATTCAGTTTCTCCCATCCGCCGCACACAAAGACCGGCACGAAGGCAC